TAATATAAATAATCCAACATCATTAAAGAAGCCATCCGATTTGCAATACATCTTTGGAAAAATTGCTATGACGGAATTTAATAAACATTTTCCAAGCCATGTTTGCGAAAAGAATTTATTGCAAAAGTTGTGTAAAAAAATTGAGAGGGCAGTACTACATATTATACCAGGCTAGTATAAAAGATGTAAAGCCCATAAAATCTTTATGCTTCACCTTATTGTAAGAACTTTAATCCATAAAAGATGTGGCTTATTAACCTCCAATCGCAACTATCGATCGGTAAAAAAAAATACTAAGTTGGCGATATTAAAACATATATAAGGTTTGTTGTAGATCACAGATAAAAAATATAAAAAAATTAATATGTTTTTTTTTACTTTTTTGCGGTTCCAAGTGCCGTAAATTTATTCGAGGAAAGTTCAACCCCAAATCTGTGCCCACATTTAAGTTGTTTATCAGAATATTTTTTTCTTTTTTTGTACTTTAAAGATAATATCTCGATAAAGAACAAGATCGATAGCTCCCGATGAAAAAAAGGACGTTTAGGTACGTATACGCCCGGTACGCTTAGCGTTAAATTCGCCTCTGACGTTAATAGAAGCTTAATAAAAGATATTGAAAATATCAAATTATTAATCTAAAAATATTAATTGATCACATATTCATTGCTAATTCTTTTAAGAATACAAAAGTATAAATAAAAAAATTGTTGGTGAGAATTCAATCATTAGGCAACTAACATTACATTATTCATTCATAATGATTAGTTACAATAAAATACTCAGTTCGGCACTACCATACTGTTAACTATTTAAACACACTCCTCTGAATGGCTAAACAACTCTTTATTATCCAACGGTTACACTTAATCCAACGGTTTTTTAAACTATTGAAAACTGACAGTTTGTGACATGCGCAAAAGGTTGTTTTTGTAATACTACTTAACCTTTTCTCTTAATTGTCAAACTACAAAATGATTTCTTTTGGTGAATTAGAAAGCAGCAGTGTGAGGATGAGTTGGATTTGCTAAT